AAACCTCACCCGACTTCGTTGAGCACGTGACTTAGAGCATCCACAATGCTTTGGGTCTCTTGACAAAAAATCACATACCATGTAAGAAATAGACCTAGTCTATAAAAAAATGCTTCCCAATGCAATTAAAAGTGGACATGGTCTAGCTTATGTGACAATAAAAAAAAGAGACTAAGTCCACACTTTGGTCTATTTTGGACCCAAGTACAAACCCAAACACTAATCATTTATTCTTACTTTAATTTTTCTTTTAATAAAAAAAACATATTAGATCATTTTTATTGGTTGACATATATGCTTGACCTAATATTTTTATTTTTGCATTGCAAAGTTATTGAAGTTTTTTACTTGGGTTTGTCCACATCATTTAAGACTCAAGTCCAATTATATGTCACATATACAAAAAGAGACCCAAAGCATTGTGGGTGCTCTTATGCATCTCAAGAAAGTCGTGTACTTAGAGGTCGAAAAAAAATAATGAAAAAGTTAAAGGATTTATTTAGTAAATAACTGAAAGTGTATTATGTTATGAAGTTATGTGGACTTACACATTTATTTCCTATAGTACATGCGTTTATTTTGTGATATATCACCCAAAATAGCTTGACGAACCGACCTGAGTGTTTAGCTCGGATGTTGCCAGTTCAAAAGAACTTAGCTCGTTGTCAATCAAACAACCTTATTACTTAACTGGCTCAAGGTACAAGATAGTCTAGTCAAAGAGCCTAGAGATCGAAAACCTCAGTAGCTTGGATATTTGCAAGAACCTCGTGTCATAGAGCCAGGAGTCACCAGCCGGCATCATGATGGTGGCAGCAGCGGTCGCCGGCAGAGCAGCGGAGGTGGCAGCTGCCGGAGGCAAGGAAGCTGCAGTAGCTGGTGATGTGCTCCAGCACTTGAACCGGCTTCACTCCAATCCTCGACCGCTCCAAGACCTGTAAAGACGCCGGAAGGTGCTCCCGGCAGTAAACCTCCGACGCTCAAGCCAGTAAGAGATCCAAGATAGAAGGAAGCTGTGTATAGAAGTTAGGGTTTGTAGAATGATTAATTTTATCTCTTCCAATGTTTTACCTATTTATATGAAGTTATTAGCTTGTTCCATATGCTTTGATCTTCACCCATTAGATCACTCATTCTGCTTTGATCCCGACACTACACGTGTCCCTTATAGTCTGCTCTTCATGTTGTAAATATTTTTCCGGAGTAGAATCTAAAGATTCGAACACCGGGTCGTGTCTCACGAGGAAGGCTAGCCGGAATATTCTATACGTTTATTCAAAAACAAATAAAAGAAGTAAAGATCCTAGGCATACTAATTCAAATGATTTGGTTTGATTATTAACTACGAAGAACAACTTCAGATGAAGCAAATGAAAATAGTAAGCAACGACGAAGAACAAATAGGATTTAAGGAGCTAGGGAGTCGGGGATATCCGTTTTGGTTCGATTTGTGACAATTGGGCAAGTGATCATTCGGTTAAGTGATTTGAATAATTTGCTCGTTCAAGTACTCATCCTCAATAACTCTTCGTAACAAGAGAACAAACTTGAACGGCAAAATTAACAAGTCATTTAACTCCTAGGCAATACAGTTACGAACAAGCCTAGTTTGTACGAGCCTATTTCGACCGACTCCTCCCCTTCCGGTTCTAAGAGTCGATTAGATTAGACTAGAAGGTTGTCAACCGACTAATCAATAAGAATAACCATTATCATGCGAGAATA